CAACCCACCCGGAAACCCAACCACAAGCACCCAGCCTGGGAGACAAATGAAAAGAACTGGGAGACAAATGAAAAGAAGTGGGAGACAAATGAAAGGAAGTGGGAGACAAGCCAGCAGCTTGGGAGACAAATGAAAAGAACTGGGAGACAAATGAAAGGAAGTGGGAGACAAGCCGGCCGGGAACCCGACCAAACAACCAAGGCGACCATTCTTTACAGCATTGAGAACCCCTAACAGTAAACTGTTTGGGGAAAAAATTGAGAACCCCTAACAGTAAACTGTTTGGGGGAAAACCTACAAATTCATTGCAGGCCTATGACCCCAAAGACAGGTTTAGGAAAATCGAAACTTGAGTTTCTGATTCGTTTCGGATAGCATGGGAGCCTGGATGGATTCAAGAAGCTGGGGAAGTCAAGTTGTTCACTGCGATACATGAAGGAACGTGGCGAGGCTCGCAAGTGAAAACACAAGGGTGTACAGCCATCCCGAAAACAATCATCGCGGCTGGACGACTGGATGGAAGCCCCATGGCTCAAACTCCAGAATGGTTTACAGTCGCCCATACAGAAAATGTTTGCCCTTGGCCCTAAGATTACCAGGTACTGTATATCTCGTTCTTTCTGAATCAAGAGACAACGCCGCGCTACGTCCTGTTGAATTTGATGTGACTGCATCTCCCTGAAGAAGTCCACCGCATCCTGCCAACAGCTGCTGCGTTCACAAACCTCGAGGGCTTCACACGTGCACGGACAAGCGGGTGAGCAAACAAGCCAAAGGAAAGCTTGCCCAAACCTACTGGACTGAAATCGGCCCCTGTTGAAAGATTGTATAGAATAACAACCATCGGTATCTTCACACACCCAAAGCCGCAAGCATATTTCATCGGGACAGAAGGCGCAAGCGAGACCCTCCTTGGAGCAACTGGTCTGAAAGTATGATTTGCGCCGCAAAGGTTGAATGAATGTCACGAACTGCACTTCCAAACCCTGTATGCAGGCGTCATCCTCATCCATTGATGGCATACCCTCCAATCCGTGCTATATCAACACTTACCGCGCGTAGGAAAACGGCAAGATTGAAAGGACACGGACAAGAACTACTAGCGCCCTCACTAGTTCAATTATCCTCTGCAAAAGGTAAGCCAAGCTGCACTGATGCTAGCATTGTAGTGGAGCCTGAGCGATGAGTGGCTACAACCCCTACCTACTCAGCCATTGTTCCCCAAACTAAATTAAACCGATGGATCCAATGTCACGAGTTTACTGCGGAACATGAAAATTCACCACACTTTTGTCTGAGTCTGGCTGCAGATTGCAGGTGACCCTGGCCGCTCGGGTCTCCGTCAGCAACGCGCGCGCGGCCGCCACAGGGCTCTGGTTGGTCCTGCAGGCGTGAGAGTTATCCGCAGATTGAACCATACCTCGGTGCTCTTGGTGGTCGAGACATGTGTGGATATACCTGTTTGAAGGACCAGTCTGTAGATAGATTGGTGAGGAAAATGCCGTTGGCAACTACATGTGCCTGTCAGACAGGCATTCCATCGATCACAAATGGTCACAAGGAACCTCTGAAACACTGTAAAGAATAATGTTTGTCAAGGTATGACAGGTACGATGTTTGTTGCAAGGAATTCACCTCGACTGTGAAAAACGCATAATACACGCAAATGGTCCTCAGCTTCAGCAAAGACTTTGTGAGCTCCTGCGGCCAATATGCCCCATCCTCTTCTATTCTGAATGACACGCATTTGTTTGAAAGAAGCGAGGTCCGCCCTCGTATTCATCCACTCATGAAAGAAGACATCAAGCTCCGCTCACAAGCCCAAGGGAGAAAGGTGGCGTATGTAGTGTTGTGGGAACATAAGCCAAGCTTTATGCTTGGTAAGGGTTTTGCCAGTGTGCGTCCCTTATTCCCCCATTTTGCAGATGCACCGCTGGGCCAAAAATGCCCATGGCGCAGCTGAGGAGAACGCTGCACTCAGCTCCCCCATGCAGCAAATATGTGTAGAAGACAGGGCGCCCTAACATGGACACCACGCCCGACCTCGACTAAAACCAGATCCAAATGTCGCATAAGTTACCTTTCCTGGTAAACATGTTTTCGGGTAGAAACTGTTCCTTGGAACTTCGACTGATTGAAAAGGAAAAGGGTTTTCGACCATTTCCCCACACGTGCGTCACCATTTGTCTGCTGCAGAAACGCATGCGACTGGTCTTCCAAATGATGGCTGACCCCCTGAAAGGTACTGAAAGATCGTGGGACCTTTCGTGCGCAAGAGGGGATCTTGTATCATGAAGGATGATGGAAGTCCACGGCTTTTAGGGTTGGATGCGGGGTTTGAAGTGCCATTGTTCGGCCTTGCGCCAAAAAAACTGAAGTTGTTCCCAACCAAATTGCAGAGCGTGCACATACACGAGCACGTGCACACTTAGGTATAGAGTTCGCAAGAGTCAGCTCTGGTAGCCCTGACGCATTAGCACTTCACATTGCTGCAATAGACCTTGACTTGCAAAACGGTAAGGTGATTCGTCGGCAAAAACAGAACTGCTTCAACAAAGCTCAGAACCGATGCGATGGCTGGCAAATTGTTCTAGTGAGGAGCAGAGACCACATGGAAATGAAAAGCATCATCGAGGCAGGTACGTCCACCTGGCACTTCACTGGTAGCTTCGCTAGACAAAGTCCGTGAAATGTTGTGTGTCCCTACAATTGCTGCACAATTAAAAGCACCGAGCGTGAATTGAGAAGTATAGGAGTGTGTGGCTCCGCTTAGGAACAGGGTTTGACACATACATGAAGCCATAACGGCGCTAAAACCTGAGAGGCAGGCCTAACAAACGAAAGTTAAAAAACTGGTGAAAGGTGCGGTGGGAGGGGGAGGGAAAATCGACTAAGCGAGCCTGAAAGGCCACCTAACAAGCCTCGAGAAGCAAGCCTAACAAACGAAAAGCAAAGAAAGGAGAGAAAGGCGGGCGGGGAACAAGGGGCTGGTTTTGCCAATAAGCATGGCACGTAGCCCAAATAGCCGTATCGGCGCTCCCTTGACTCGCGCAAGGCCTAAGTTACACATATCAAACCTCTAGCAACGAGCAAAAGACCTAGCACAAGAAGAAAAACCGAAGGAAGAAAAGCAGCGCACGCAGCTCAAAAATTGGAAACCATGTGGAAGTGCTTAGTCAGCACTCTCGGGCAAAACCGATAGTCCGGAGGGCTCCAGCGCCAAACGAATGTCAGTGGAAGTGCCCCTTTCGGGTCTGTGAGAACAGCACCCGCAAAAATGGGTTCACACAGTGACGGACTTAGATATAGAGCTCCCAAGAGCAAGAGTCAGTTTTGGTAGCCCTGCAATCGTCCTTGACGTAAGGTGATTCGTCGGAAAAGTATCATCGATGCAGGTACGTCCAGCTGGCCAAGCTGGATATCCCATTTCACTGGTAGCTTTTTTGGACACGGTCCAAGTTCACTGGCGTTGGCTGAGGGCAAACAGGGTCCCATCCGCATCCGTGCGTCACACTCTGGCCCACGCTCAATAGTATATAAAAGGTAAGTGTCCAAAAAGAGCAAACTCAAAAGGTTCAAGATTCCTGGATGAAACCTGAACGTATCCGCGTCCTGGCGCCTAAGAAGTTAGTAGGTAGTTGCTCTACCTCCCTCCCCCCTAAAACAACAGAAAGCCCTCAACACTTAGGCATGAATTTGCTGATTAAGCAATGGTAACATATGGCAGTTGCCAGTCATTTGGAACAAGTGGCTGTTGTTTGTTAGACACTTATGCTTTTTAAAATGCCACGCGAGTGTATTAACGCCTGCTCTGATCTGCTCAAGGTCTTTACTGTGGCTGCAGACCCCTAAGCCCGCTGTTGGGCCACACTTGATGACTTCTCATACGTCTTCCCGCACGCCTGGGCAACTCCCATACAGGCACCTTGGGCGAGGAGCTGGCATCATCATTTGTGCAACAGCGGGGAAAGGCCCAAAACCCAAAAAACCGTTGTCCAGTTGCAACTTCGTCTTTCAAAAGCCTTCTCGCAGAAGTCATGGGGCCTTCTCATGACCCAAGTGGCAATAAGCTTTAGCCTTGAACACACAGCTACTCCTCTCACTTCTCACAAGAACTGCTACATTTATATACATACACTGGGGCATCGATATGGATCAAACTGTCGAAGAAACTTCCAGTATGTTTTGCCAATCTTTTTGCCCACAACTTTGAATTGCGTTGAACTGCAGGTCATCCCACAGCTTGAATACTGTGCCGAATGAACGCCTTTTAGGCTTGGGAGGTCGCTACTAGTAGAAATGCACTTGTTCCTAGTAGAGATGCCCTTGTTACTAGTAGCTTCTTGCTACTAGTAGCGATGCACTTACTGAATGCCGAAATCCCCCCCCACTGAGATCCCCGCCACAAAGGCCTCAAGCAGGCCATCCCACTTGCCATGGTGGCACTGGCACCCCGCATGATCACTGTCCTTTCCATCGAAATACACAGGTGACTGAAGGACCAGTTCCCAAGCATCACTGCAGTCCCTTCTCAGCTCACCCGTACCCCAACAAAGAAAAAAGAACTCAACTGCAAACACATCCCACCATGGATTGAAAATCGTTGAAAGTATCTCCGCTTCATAAAACAGCGTTTGTTTCAGATGGGCAAAGTACCATATGCACCACCAAGTTCGCATAAAACCTCCCTTCAAGCTTGGCATAAAGAAACACAGACACTTTGAGGCCAATCCAAGCGATGTGAGGCATTATCGTGATGGATAGTGATGCTGGTCTGGTCATCTCTCTCAAACCAGGAGTGCATCCATTAATCCATTACATAGGAACATGCCCTTGCACTCTTCTGCGTTGGATTGCCGATTGCCCGTGCAAAATAGTTGCATATGTGGCTCTATGTCTTCAAGACATGGACGACAAGAACAAAATGGGTTGACTGACTCATGGGAATACCGGCCTTGAACTTAATGGAGTAGTTCCATCTAGTATTGAGGTTCGCCTATGCTAGCTCTGTTCAGGTGTTTGGCTTCTGGAACAGCCACTGCAAGCCTGCTCTTTGCGAGGAGAAAACAAACAGTTGGCAGCGCCAATGCCCTTGACATCGGCGGCCTCAGCAGATTTATTGAACACTACTCAACTGAGGCAGCAACTCCCAAGAGCTCGCGGCTCGTGATCGCGGATCTTCTCTGAATTGCGGCAAACCCACCGAAACTAAAGGACTGATATACTTTTGATTGGCTTGTCTCAAAATGTCAGAATGTCTCAAATCTCATCGATATTTATCTTTTGTCTCAAAACTTCCTGACCTCAAACTCTTGGGGCTGCGACTTTAGTTTGAGGAAGCGCAAGTGCATTCAGGCAAAAGGCATGCATGCAGGCATTGCTGGCTTGATTTGCGCATGTTGAGCGCACTGGCACTTTTCTGCCTGAGTATATACCATTTCAGACAGCGCAAACAATAGCATATATATATATATGCATATATATATATATACTGCTTTTGATGAAGGTTGGTGAAGGGTGCTCCCGGTTTTCCACTCTCTGGTTGAAATAGGGTATTGGAGCCGTTGCAACTCAATAACTTTGAGCCGCCAAGCCCGCCAGAACTTCCAGGGATCGCTCCAGTCAGCATCTGCTTTGTCCGGCCGCGCTGGCCTCTCAGCCCACTGATCTGCGGAGCGCCTGGCTCATGGTCAACCTACTCCATTGAAATGCAAGGATTCCTACATGAGCCTCTAGTAGCTTCTTGTTACTAGTAGTAAGGCCAGGAGCCCCTAGTAGCGTCCTTGCTCCTAGTAGTAAGGCCAGGAGCCCCTACTAGCGTCCATGCTCCTACTACATGCAACTGCCCCCAAGTCAAGAACTTGATCCTTCAACTGTCTTCAAAAGAAATCAAACACACCACAGCGGGCCAACTCCTCTGAGGCCTGTTGAAAGTTGAAGATAAAGTTGCGCTTGTGAACTCCTCTGAGTTCTAAGTTATAACAGCACATGGCCCATATCTGCCCTCCGTGAGGAGTGACGTTTGAGGTCTACTGAGCAGTGGAGAGACAACTCCTGTGAATCGTCGTAAGGCAGGGCACCAGATCTGTGAGGGCTCGTCTATGTGAGTCAGTGAAGTGGGTCAAAACTGAGAAGAACAACGATGAAATCGGATGAAACATCCAACAGAAGATCTGGCGAAGCAGGCGGTGTGCTGTGGCCTTCCACCAGAAGCTTATCTGGTAGGAAGAGGCCTAAGATGCGGGTCTTCCAGCACATGTTGCATTGTCAAACCCAAGGGATTGCATGTTGTTGAACGTGTTTCAGACTGTATGAGGGTCTTCAAATCATGGAGTAGATGTCAGGTACTTTCTGCTCTCAAACACGATTGGAAGAACAACAAACTCCAGTCTTGTCCACCCAATTTGGAGGACCATTATTTCTCCTTCCGGCAAGGCCACAGGGTGTCGCTGGACTTCCATGTCAACATATTGTTGCAAACCGAATTCTTCAAAAGGAAAATACAGCGACGATATGTGATGTTGACTTATGGTACCACGTCCCGATCAAGAACAAAACACCGGTTGTGTCTGGGCAAATGGCCTCAATTGCATCACAAACAAAAACTTGGCTCTGTGTGCCTTGCAATGAATGTTAGCTGTTACTCAGGTATGCCTGAGCTGCAAAACAGACTTAGGGGGCCTGGGAGAATGTAGAACCGGGTTTCTGATGATGACCTCCAAAAGTCCCCTAGGAGCCACCAAAAACATCTAAAGTGAGAGCTTGGGATTTGGGGCAGCTGTTGTTTAGAATGGTTGCTTGTGGTCTGGAGGTTCTCACGCCGGTTAAGGAATCTATTCTCTTGTATTGAAAAGGTTCATGTTTCTGTATCAAAACAACCAAGTGGGCCAGGGCCACTCCCTTGATTGTCTTCTCGGGTATCGGTCAAGTATCGTTCAGGGTATGGTTCTAAACACGGTGTCGAGCTTTGCACTTGGTAAATAGCAACATCACAACGTACAGAGTCGCTTTTGGAAGGTCTCGTGGTATTGGCTATAGCTGAATTTATCTGAATGTGTACCTCTTTTTGACTGGTTTACTTTACTAGCACGTCTTGTCTCTGCGACATTCTGCTCTTGACCGGAATCTTACGAAATCTCCTGACGAAGCTGCGCCGAGCCACTGGAACTCGGGCAGTTGAAACAAGCCCGGGGCCAAACGGTTCTGCGCTGCGATACGAGCGGACTCCTGGCATGCTCTTGGACTCTTGGAGGATCAACTCTACGAAAACAAACAAAGGTCGCTGCAAGACTGCCGCGTTCAGGATCTATTTATATGAAGTAGTCGGTAGGTCGTCCCTTGGTGACTATTGCTTTCAAAAATTTGCAACACCATACCCCTGTGCCTGGCCGCTCTTAGTGGCAACAATCCACTGCACCGTGCTGCCACCCCTGCAGCTGAGACGAATGATAAAACCTTGCTTGAATGCTTGAATGCTTGATTGATTGATTAATTGAGTGATTGATTGATTGATTGATCCATCATTCGACATGGATCCGCATAGCTTGCGTAGAACAGCTGTGTTCTAGCCGCAGCCAACGTCGCTGGCTCGCTGTCGATCGCCACAGCCCAGCCTTCGGGAGATCCGGACGGACCAGGCGAGGAAAACACGCCATCGCCTCCATGAGCGCTCTCCATAAGCCTTCCACAGGGGATATGGGCCTTCTCTTGTGATTTCCTGCGTTGAATTCCGCATTAAAGCTAGAAAGGTATCCAAATGATTGCACACAGGAAAAAATAGAAACAAATATTTGCACTGACAGAGCAACTGAGCAACAGTGCGAATTCCCCACCTTCACGATGCGGTCCTTGCTCGCCTCCCAATTTTGCAGCCAATGGTATAAGGTCTGAGAGTAGTGATATCCTCAGACGTCTCTCTCCAACGCGCAATCGAGCTGGGATGATAGAGCAGCTGTTTCGGGGTTGGTAGGCAGGGATTGTGTGGGATCGTCTATCCTCCAAATTGAAACCACCATGATCTTGATACTACGTTTCTAAAAACCTGCCCTTTCTACCCCGCGGTGTAGTTTTTGAGACAAAATGTCTGAGGTATGCTTTCTTGGGGTAGTGTGGGTTCCTGTTTATCTATCTGGGCTGCTCGCTGTGTGACTTCTTCGGACATCTTTGAATGCATGTGCTTCTTTGTTGTTCTGCAGTTCTGCGGTAAGTTCACAACACGGCGCTGTGGAAGCGTTAAGGACAAGCCTTCTTTGAGCCACGCAACATGATGCGCCAATTGGAAGAACGTATGCGTTTTAATGTCAGTCATATCTATATATATATACTACTTGGTTACACCAAAGAAATGGCAGCCGTGCTCTACCTTTGCAAACGGCCATGTCTGTGTGTGACACCCTTGGAGTCACGGGGGTCTAAATTGCAGGAGGTGACAGAATGGCTGTCGCCAACGAAGCTCCATGCAGTTGACTAGGATATCATGGCTGATCACCGCGACGTACCTGCAAATTGTGATTTTCGTAACCACGATCCCATTCTAGAGTCTTGGAGGCTGTTTCAGGATGAAGAGGTTGTGCTGCTGTCAAGGGCTAATGGCTAATGCTCTCGTCGTCGACGTCGTCGCCTTTGGAGCTTTGAACCACACTTTTTCCTGGAACTCTTAGGCGTTCATACCTAGGTGATCCTAGGTGAGTGTGTGGCATGTGGCATTCAGTTCAGTACGCAATGTCTCGAGTGTGTGATTCTTGATGGTCGGTGGCAGCAGAAGGAAAGGCTCACAATTGGACAAGCAAGGAACTGGTACTCCTCCATGTCCTATTCCAACAGTGTCCAGCATCTTGACGCCCCCCCGCTAGCCAAGGCTCCCATGTTGTGGACGCTTTGTACCTGCACAGGTCAAGGCTGTCAGGAGTTTTCCGGGTTTTCATCCATCACCTGTGATGAACCTATTGGCTCAAAACGCCATCCAAGCAAGAACTTGCTTCCCAAAAATTCCACCAATGATGCGCGAATCTCAAAATGGCACATGAATGGGTGCAAAGCCCTACAGAAGCTTGGAACGCTCAACACCGGCATTTCCCAAGACATGAAATACTAGCTTCTTGTTACTACTAGTAAGGCACTTGTTACTAAAAGCGAGGCACTTGTTACTAGGAGCTTATTGTTTCTACTAGCTTCTTGTTACTATCTGAATTATCATGACATCAATGTAGCTTGGATGAAAACTGTGAAGCCGTAACAGGCCCTTGGCCCAAAGACTCCAACAAACATCCCAACCATGCTTGTCAGAACCAAATTGCAACCAAACTTGCCAAAGCGGTCTTTGTAAATCCTTTTGTTGCTTGTTTGTCATCTGCAGATGCTTTTTGATCTGCGTAAAGTCTTTCACCTCTGCTGCCAGAACCACAGGCTTTCAGCCCAGCTGAGTCCGGGAGTCATCCGCTGCGGCACGGCAGTACTCAATGGAGTGGAGCAAAGAAGTTGCTTAAAACAACACGCTGGAACCCTGCCACCACTCCAATTCTCAAGAATTGCTAAGCTCAAAATGTTGTGATTGATCTTATTTTTCATTGTGCAGATCGCGCAGCACCAGTTCGCTCGGCTTTGACTGGAAGAGTCGGCCTTGTGCGAACTCAGGCAAAAGAGGATCTGAAGGGCTTTACATAATGCTGCAGCGTTTGGAGGGCTCTTTGGCGCCCGAGGTGAAATCACCCACAGAATCCATTCTCTTGTCATCCCCCAAAGCTTGAACAGCTGTAGCGATCGCAAATTTCACTGCATCTTGCTGCTCCTTTTTAGCTGTGTCGTAGAATCCGTGTCCTACAGGACATGAAACGTATACAAATAATGTAGCAACTGCTTTCTGGTGCTCAAGCTGTTCGACTACATAAGCTGATTCTGAAATCCCAATCTATTGGCTCGCAACAGGTGGTCCCGCAGGCAGAACATGTCCATGTTCAAGCGGACGTTGAGCACACGAAAGCTTAGTTTTCGGAAGATTTACCCAACCCGCTAATCATTCCCAACCTCAAACCTCATGGTCTTTGGTTCCGCTTTCAAGCCAGGCAGAGTTGCGGTATATCTGGAAGCATCTGTCTGATGTTTTGTTCCAAGGATCTGGCGCTTCTTCTTTTTTTTTTTTTTTTCTTCTTCTTCTTCTTCTGCTTCTTCTTCTCCTTCTCCTTCTCCTTCTCCTTCCTCCTTCCTCCTTATTCCTTCTTCCGCGAATGGTTTTTGAGGTTTTGGTTTGTGCCGTTGTTGCTTGCTTCGAATTCGATGTCAAGCAGAACGGCTGTGCAAAGGATTCATGCCTTGATGCCCGTGTAAAGTCCTTGGGTCTTCTTCGAGTGGATCAGGTTTCCATCCAGGGTGATCTCGAAGTTCCCGGTGGTGCCGGGATCCTGCATCTGTACCACTTTCACACCGCTGGGAAATATAGCAAGGAGCATATCCTCAGTGGCCTTGGCATGCTTGCCATAACCTTCAGGGTTGCACTTGTCACTTTTTCCCGAAAGCATTGCGAAGGATTCTTCCGGAAAATCTCTTGAACACTGACACTTCTACACTTACACTTACACACTGACACTTCCACACTTGCACTTGAACACTGACATTTCTACACGTACACCTGAACGCTTACGCTTCCACACTTACACTTGAACACTTACACTTCTATTACACTTGAACACTTACACTTCTATACGTATGCCAGTGTAAGTGGAAGAGTGAAAGCATCCAACGGCAAGTATCCAAGCGCAAAAGTATGCAAGTGTAATGCAATATGCAAGTGTATGCAAGTGTAATGCAAGTGTGAGTGCACGGGAGATGTCCTAATGAAAAACATTTCCCCACTTTCTTAAAGGCGGAGGGTGGGACGAACAGCGTCAACCGAAAATGCAACCCTCTGCGGAGATCGTGCGTGTGGAGTGCGCGAAATGCAGGCGAGAGCGCGATTTGTCCGGTCCCGGCGCAACCCTCTGCGGAGATCGCGCGCGTCGAGTGCGCGAAATGCAGGCGAGAGCGCGATTTGTGCCCTGCGCGCAACCCTCTGCGGAGAGCGTGCGTGTCGAGCGCGCGAAATGGCGAGAGTGCGATTTGTCCGGTCCGCGCGCAACCCTCTGCGGAGATCGCGCGTGTCGAGTGCGCGAAACGCAGGCGAGAGTGCGAATTGTCCGGACCGCGCGCAACCCTCTGCGGAGATCGCGCGTGTCGAGTGCGCGAAATACAGGCGAGAGTGCGATTTGTGCCCTGCGAGCGCAACCCTCTGTTGAGATCGCGCGCGTCGAGTGCGCGAAATGCAGGCAAGAGCGCGATTCGTCCTGGCCGCGCGCCTCCCACAACACTTCTCTTTGGCGCCCGACACGGACCATCTTACAACCGACAATCTGCGTAGCTAACAGCCCTTACCAGCAGTGAAGACCAGCAGCAGACATAGACACACACTTGAGAAGGTTGCTCCGTGGAGCTTGTCTTCAGGCAATTCGCGGTGAGCATTAGCCCTTTAAGTGAATGCTTAGCACTTGTCACTTGACTTGCAAAACCGCAGGAATGAAAGGTCAGCGCAACTGAATGTTTGAACAAACGCATTAGCTCGGCTCTATAAAATATGTTAAAAATTTGCGCAGGTACGTTTTCACGGCAACATGGATGGGTCTTCGTTGGCCCATGCCATCCATGTGCCCATGGGCCGCCTGCTGTTGCAAACTGTACATTGACAATGAAAGGAAGGAGAAATAGTAGAGAGCAGTGCCCCTGGAAACGGGGTTTGACACACACAGAAAGCCGTAATCGGCGCAACTAGTAAAAGTGTTGAGCGTACTGTCAATGAGCTCTGCAATGCGTGTACCCTGCGTGAAAACAGGTTTCGGGGAGTTTTCCACCGTCTTTGCAAGCGACCTCTGTTTTGTGGAGAACTCTGGCAACGTGCTTCCAGTTGGGTCGTGGCTTCTTGTTGTGTTTTTGCTCGGTGCGCTTCTCGTCATCTCTCGTATGACTGATGCTGATAGCAGCAGAGGCAGTGCTGGTGTGACTGATGCTGATAGCAGTGCTGTTTGTGGAAAAAGGAC